GCGCTGTGTGTGAGGTCTCTGGCGATAACCTGCATGTATTGGGTGATGGGTTTGATGAGATCGAGGGCTTTGTTGAGCTGTCCGTTCCTCGAGGAGCACTCGACCAGGAATTCGTAGTCATCGTTGAGTCGTTTGGAAGATCGCGATTCAATTCGACACAAATTGATGTCATTATCCTGAACAGTGACATAAGTGTCACAATCTGTTCATAACATAATCGCTAAGTGTTTGCAAACCTTAAATATCTGGAGAGCGTCTGCGAGAGCGCCCACCTTCTCCTTCATCGAGAAGACCACGTGAACCGTATTGTTGTTCTCATTCAATGACTCCATTATATAGCTTCCAGTCTTTCTTTCGGGTCTTTCGGGTCTATTATTCTTCGCGTCTTCACTTCCAGAAGTATTGATAATCTGTGGGTTTTAAACGCAATACTTAGCTTACGTTGAATATGTTGTTAGTAAAGCAAATTGCAACTTTAAATGTATGCAAAGATCATGACACGAATTATTCTAACTTCAAAATGTCACAAATATTTATTTGGAGTGTAAGTTGAAAATAAATTTCATCAGAAATAACCTTAAGATATATTAGATTTTTAAAAAACAACAAATAACTTCAATGATATTTATTTTTTTATTCAATTTAACTAGTATCTTAGTGATAATTATCGTTTCATTAAGTCTTAATCCAATAAATTATAGTTTAGGTCAATTCCTTAGGTTGATATTAATTTATTTTATTATTAATGCAAAAACAGTAATTGTAAAAGCTAATTATTACTATACTGTACTTATTCTAATTATTTTATGTTTTAATGATTACAGTACATATTTTAGTGACAATCTATAAGAGGTATTCGAGTCTAAAAAGACAGGTATTATTACATTGGTTAAAATTATAGAACAAATCTTTATAAGTAAAGCATTTATGATAGACACTATTTTAAAATCTTAGTAGAATATAAATTATATAATTGTTTAATAATGCCAAAATTATTAAAAACAATATTATTAAGTTATATTAACATTGCACTAATTCAAATAAATTATTTAAAAACTTTAACATTAATTTTGAAAGTAAGCTTAAAACTTAAATATTAGAAAAATTTGCTAATCTAAATAAAACCAATGAAAGTCTGAACTAGAGATAGCATAATTTATAAAATTAGAATTTATATAATCTTGAAAATACTTATTTTAAAATCAAAATCACGTAAAACTTACCGCATCTTCGACTTCGACAACCATTTTATAAATTGTTTTCGAAATAAATGCGAAGATATCTGAAGAGAAAGTATGTTGTGTTGATGTAAACAGCAATGGGTTTAAAAGCAAATTCAATTCAAATCTGTGCAAATCTTTTAAAAGATGCTAAAAATGCGTTCAACTAATTCTTAAAATCCTTGACTTTGGGTCAACTGTTATAGCCTATGGGCTCATCAGATATATATCGCAAGTTGTTATTGGTCTT